AGAAAGTACCTAGACTTTGGTCTTCTGAATGGCTTTCTTTTCGTTCCTCCCATCAAAGGCGGCGGCGCCTACACACACTTGGAGCGCTAGGCAGTGCCACCAAAAAAACCAATAACTTGAACCAGCCCTCAACTGTGAGCCCATCTGGGCGGTTTGGGATTTTGGACTGCGGTTAACTAGCGGTCTTGGCCTGAACTGTCAATCCTGCTCTGGCAAGTCTGGGGACCAGGGCCAGCGAAGGCCACATCGCGGGCCAGACCAGATCTGCTGCAGAGATCGGCTAGCGAAAATTAGACAAGAAGTGGACGCCAGAAAGATGTACACGACTTTACCGAATTACCGGTTACCGTAAAAGGTGTGTATGGTCGTTGGCTAAACACACGTGCTGACGACGACGCAATCTGGATGAAAGCGCAGGGCCGGAGCCGTGCGCTCGCGTCAATGAGCTTGTTGGAAAGAGTGGTGGTGGGGTCAACAGCTGGATGGCAATGCGGCACCAGGGTCCAGGATTTAAAGAAACGGAAAGTGTGGGGGGCACATTGGCACAGCCGATGGTCAGGTATCAATCGGATGATTTCCAGTTGGCCCTTTCTCCGATGCAAGCAAGAGAGGCAGGCACGGCGGACCAACAACCCAGGTAGGCATGTAGGTAACTTCCAGACGGGAATAACGACAAACAAACCAAAAACCCACTCTGCTCCCGCCATGTGTATCAGGCTATCAAGCTAACATCAGCTAATTCACTCACCCCATCCGTCCTCGAGTGTTGCCCTCAGTCGATTCAATTCGAGGCTCAAGTGACCTTACCGTTACCTAAAATAGGCGGTCAAATTGATGTCCCTCAGAAGGAAACAGTTGCGGCGACAGTCCAGAACTTGGACTTGACAACGCCACGGGTCCACAATTTACCAGCTAGGGCATGGTTACCTGCAAGCCCCTTTTTCCCAGAGCAGACACCAGCATGGCGCCATTTACGAATACCATTTCCGAATGCACATGCCAAGCGCCTGCACACCGATAGCCTGTCTTGCCTGTCTCGAGCATGTCTTCGATCTGGGAACCGAAACCTAGAGATCTGCAACAACACGAGCCCACTCTCCCGCTGGTTGTTCCGCGGATTCGGCTCGGAACTTTGTTCGTATTCTCTCCACAAACAAGGCCGACCATGCCGTGGCCAGGTCGGACCCTGCAAGATGCGGGTACGAGAGCTTGTTACACCCATGAATTGGACCACGGCTCAGGTACCGGACTGCGGACACAACAGGCCACGCCTCAATCCCGGAGTTAAGAAGTAATAAATTTATCTTTGTATATACTTTAATTAGCCACTGCTGCCGAAGGGTCCATATGCGCACCACACACCAGCCCGAAAGGAAAGCCGCTGGCCCGGGCCGATACTAACTATTGTTCGCCACAGAGCGCAAGCGAGGACGATCCCGAAGCACCAATCTATCCACCAGATGACGTTGAGACAACCCGGAATTGCAAGCGGTGCAGACGCAGACCGCTCACTCATGATCTGTGGTTCGTGGCGGGATGCCCAGCCAGCGTGCCAGCGTGCCGGCGTGCCAGCTAACCAGTCGCTCCGCCGAAGCGCCGCACGCCCGCAGCGGGCGATTGCAAGGTGACCTCTCGGCAGGGCTGAAGCGAACTCGAGCCATGCTGCCGTGCCGCAACTTTGTTCCGCTGCTCCATGGGCCACCAGAACCACCATCATCCCACGAAGCCACCCCGACTCCAAGGGATTTGGTCAGACGATTATCCGACTTGCTGACGAGCGCAGTCCGAGTTCATTACAGTCTTCCGGGCCATCAAGCAAAGGAATTTCACGGCATTGAATCAAACGCGAGACAAAACTTCATACCCAACACAAAAAAAGGTATTTTAACCCTAACCCTAAAGGCCCCTCGCCCCCAATATCAAATATATCAACTCCTATCTATTTTCCTGTTTCTCCTACGGAATACGTACAAGCAGGTTCACAAGGGAAGTCAGGAACCCGTGCGCTTTCCGCACGGTAAGGCTGTGGGGGGTCTTTGTGGAGAAACCGTGGTATTACAACCACCTCCCACTTCGGCATGCTCTATCAAGTCACAAATGACTGGAAGAGGCAAGGTCTTGACTCTTGAATTTGGAATTAGGTAGGTTGTTGAACAGTCTACAGTATAGGTAGGGTATCAAGTCAACCCAGCCCCAAGAACAACATTCACCACAACCGTCACAACAACAACCACCACGCCCGCCAGCCCGGCCCGCCCATCCCCCCTCATGGGCACCAACGCCGCCGCCCCAGCAGTCGACGAAGAAGACGCTGCCTCACCTCCACCTCCACCTCCACCCTCCGAATCCCTTGTCGGTGTCGGTGTCGGCGTCGCCACCACCACCCCCGGCCCCATGGTATTCCCATACGAATAGGTAAAATACTCTCTACACTCGGCGGGGTCAAAGCAGGTATGTGTGCCATGGAACACGGTCCACGCCAACGTCTGCGCATGCGCGTACAACGTGCCCCCCGCAGTATCCCAAGTCGCCTCAGACGCCCCATCGTAGGTGTTGCCCGGGCGGCCGTCCACGCCGTTACTATACAAACCCAGCGTGAGCGTCTCGTCGCCTCTACCGCCGCCGAAGGCCGCGCAGTACGGCGGCAGCGTGCGGCTGCTGACCGTGTGCGTCGTGCCGTCGCGCACCGTCGTGTGCGACCACGGCGGCGACGTGTGCGTGAAGGAGAGGCGGCCGCCGCCGAACGCCGACGGGCAGCACGTCACCCACGTCGCCTTGGCCCCGTCGTACGCCGGGCCGCCGTTGCCGACCGTCCAGGGGAAGTACTCCGTCGAGTTGGCCGTCGTGTACCCGGCCGGGCAGTCGGTGTAGTAGGTCGGCGTGCCCGTGATCACCGTCGATAGCCCCACCGGGTAGCAGTCGGCGCGTGTCGGGTCGGGGTCGCCTGCCACGGTGTGTGTGCATTGCAGCCAGGGGGGCGAGTGCGGGTCGGTGGTGAGCGAGCAGCGGTCCGAGACGAGCCAGAGGTTGGAGTCGGTGAGGCAGGACGGCGCGGGCGTGAACTGCGTGACGGCCGATGAGGGCGGCGGCACGTAGGTGCCGTACGGGGCGTGAGTCGGGCGCGGTTGGATCGGGTTGTGGTTCATCACGCAGTGGCTGTCGCCGAAGCATGTCGATGTCGTGCCGGGCTTGCCCGTGTAGAGGTACTTTTGGATCTTGGCGGGTGTCACGGCGATGAAATCGTTGTCGTAGTCCCAGTCCACCACGGTTGTGGTGGGCGTGGTGGAGCCTCGAGGGTAGCCTATAACGCTCATGGTCACCTTGCTGCCCGAGAGCTGCTTGATGGAAGCCGCCTTGCAATACACGAGCTGGGTTGCGTGTGTCATGGGGTACGTCGTGCCGTCAATGACGGTGAGGATAGTGGTCGGCTCGGGGCCGGCCGTGGTGAATTCATAGGCGCTATATCTCGGTGAGCCATTGCTATCATATGTTATGGGGACTAGGAAGTCTGTCTTGTTTACTCACGTGGGACAGCAGGCTGTGTGTTCAACGGTGATGGATGAATAAATTCTTGTGTAGGTGTCCACGCCCGTCATGCCCTCCGGACAGGCACTATACGCGGTGCTTCTAGCTATGGTGGCGCCAGTGGTGACCCAATTTGATTGGTAGCACAAATCATCATAGTTCCCGTCTCCTGGGTGACCCAGGAAGGTAACATGACATTGAGGAATTTCCACGACCTCAGTCGGTTGGGGTGAGAATGGCGGGTAGTACGTATCGCATCCATATCCCTCTCCCACCCACAAGTTTGACGGCGCAAAGCATGTCGGGTCGGGTTGGTAGATTGTTGTGACGCTGGCGAACTCGGGCATGGTTTCCGGGTTTTGACTGAAAAATTGCGTCCTCGCTTCGCGAAGAGGGAGCTTATGTTGTTATCCTCGAGGGATAATGAGTTATTAAATAGCTATATGCGGTCCCCCGGCGTAGCCGTCGTTTCGCCTTGCCAAGCGGTTAAGCCCCTTTCTCCTACCACAACTGGCGATGCCAAGCAGACCAATGCCATTGGCCCCCAAATCTCCGGCAATGCGGCATCGCGATTCCGGAATGGTGTTGAGTACAAAATACTACACTATTAGTTAACAGCGCAGGGCCAGCGTTTACCTGAAGCATAAATATGGGTGGTAGGAACATGCTGGGCTTACCACTGGCACTGAGTGTTTGAAAAAATGCCTCTTCACCGCCTCCTCTACTCTCTCTTTTCATTCTTGAATGACTTGTAGGTATGTCCCTTCAGCGCAGTCAGGCAACGGTCAAATAACCAAAGCAACATTTTCAGCTCATCAACACGATGTTGATGTTGGCGTTCCCTTTTTCGCCATGAGGTGGGAAACTCCGTAGAGGTATTGATACGCCAGAGCCGACCTATTTGATACAAACTTCCATGCCTCTCTCTACCCGGTTAAATCTATGACCAGTCGTCAATAAAATAGAAACCGACTCTTAGAGCTCAACTATCACCCTTTCGCCGTTATGGCCTGCCTCCCGAAAACCAACTAGGGCTTAGGTAACAACCAGGCAGTCCTTGATATTCTATAGCTTGTTTTCTCTGTCCAAAGGGCTGGAATCCACATTCATAACCGACACTCACTCATTCTCCTAACGTATACAACCATATCCGCAAGTAAGTACGGGATCCCATCAACCCTCAGCTCTCCAAACTCGTGTAAGCCGAAAGAGTATTTATGTTGGTGGTAGCTACTAGCTAGGATTCCTCAATTCGTATTTTCATCGGTTTTTATTCTTCTCTCAGTGTTGTATTAGCAGAGTTGAGAGAGAGATGCCCTATTGAAGCCGGACGGTCCAGGCGAGGCCCAGGCAGAGCCTAGGTGGACAGCTCCGGTGCTTCCGCAGGTCGTTGATGAGAGCCCCCCCTAACAATCCTTAGAGATGATAGTTATGGCGTTGGACATTCTGTCCTATCAATAAGGTCAAGACGACTAGGGTACATGGTCTAGTGGTATGATTTTCGCTTCGCACATGTGCGACCTTGTGAAAGGTCCCCGGTTCGATCCCGGGTGTATCCAACTCTTTTGTCTCATCTTCCTCTGGTTCTTCTTTTTTCATCCCCTTTTTTTCAGGAAAAACAAAAATGTATAGGGGCTAAGGTTATCCCAACCGGCCAGTGCGTTTGTTGAACTAAAATAAGAAGGCCGATATCAAATGGAAGTCTAATGCAACTTAACGAAAATGCATCTCATGTTAGCAGTAAGATCTATATCCATGCCAGGGGATTTGAACCGAATGGAAGTTCATAAAGTGTGACCACTCGATCAAAAGTATAACCGAGATGCAACCTCTCATACACATTTCTCGGCCTCGAGCACGGCCATGTTCCTGGGGTGATCACATGGATCCATGGAGTCCGTCCGAAATACTACGTATAGGCTTCGTATCTCACGAATGTCATCCCAACTCACCCCAGCCACCCGGCCAACTTGCCAACCACCGCCCACCAACAGACCCCCAACAGGGAACGAACCAAAAGAAAGATAAAGATAAGCATAACTCGTGTTTCAACTCCCAGCCGATCCGGCACTCCTCGGTTCACAACCTTGGCAGCCACGCATAGTTACTTACGCAGCCCGCTCGCTGCAGGGGAGAAAGGTGCTCATGCTCCACCTGGCTGGGCTGGCTGTCAACCGATCATACCAACAATACGACCTTCTCTTCTCCTGCCGTACCGCGCCGATCCGACAGCCGGCGTCTGCGGGGCCTTCGGGGCAGAGACAAGCCGGGTGGCCCCTGACATGTTGAACTTTATGCTAGCCTCCATCGAACTGACGCACATATCTTATGCGCCATATTTTGGTCGTTTGGTATTATGATCATCAGTCATGTCTCTGCATCTTCACATCATTGGAAAAGTAGGAGGGAAATACACATCAATTTCACACGTAGCAAGCAGAACAAACACGCGAAGCAAAGAATGAGAACCAAAGATATCCAAGGAGAACCAATCCGGTTGATTATCCACATCTTGCCCTCCCTCACTCCGCTCCCAACCTCTCCAGTCGTCCATCCAATCTACCAGCCCGCCGTCTCCTCCATCCCCTAACAAACCCTCAAAATCATCCAGACTTGTCTAACTACAGCGCTCCGTGCTTCGTAACAAAAAAAAACAATAAGAAATAGGGAATAAGAACTAGTAACAAAAATGGAAAAGGGGAATGAACCAAAAAGCTAGTGCAGAAAACAGAGATGAATATGCTCCATCAAGTCCGTGAGATCTCAAGGATAGATAAACAAAGAGTCCCCCGCGCGTGAGCAAAATTCTCGGCATCTTTAGCCTTCCCGCTGTCTGGCTCCCTTGACTTGAACCTGCTCTTCTGTTCAGGAAGCAGGCAAAAATGAAACCAAGCAATGGTCGCACTAAATTTTCGGTCCATCCCCATTTCCAACATTATCTTGCTATCCCGCCATCGCAGCTCGAGAACGCGGGAGCTGAAAGCGGTGGCGGCGAGTGGTCGTATCCGTGCGGGTCAAGGAAGTAAACCGGGGCTCTTTACTCCTTGAAGGTAAGGACTTGAACGAGAAAACCCAGAATTAGCCATCCGAAATCTCGAAGTACGTGAGGTTATCGTTTGCAGGAAGCCGCCGGCGGGCAAGCGCGTTTTGTGGGTTTCTCTGGGCAAGTCGTGCCCATCCTACTCGAAGTCGATAGAGCTGCCTCCCTCCTGAGCCTCCTGCTGCTCGGCGGTGACGACATTCAAACCCTCGCTATTGCCGCTGTCGTTGTTAGGGGCAGGGGCAGCAGCGGGGGTGTTCGAGTTGCCGACACCGACCCCCGGAGCGAGGAGGTTAGGATCAAAGGAAACCGCGGCTGGGGTCTCGTGTGAACACCCAAGGTTTTGCCGAGGGAAGAAGAGTATATCCGCGCGAATAAGGAAGAAGGAAGTAGTAAAAAGAAATCTACTCACGTTGGGAGGCTACCGTTTGGACCTGGCCGACGACGTTGGGAGAGATGAACTGCTGCAGGTCCAGAACGCCGACGTTGTTGAGCAGGCCGAGGTTGAGCTGCTGGAGCTGGAGAGAGGCGAGGTCGAATCCGCCGAGGACGCCAAGCTGGTGGATCTGCAGGAAAGTGTGCAGCGACTGCAGCTGGAGGAGGCCTTGAAGGTCAAAGTTCTGCTGCTGGAAGAGGCCCTGGAACTGCAGAATGTTGAGGTTGTTGACGTTGGCCAAGTTGCCGAGGAGGCCAAGCTGCAGGGAGTTGATGTTGAGCAGGTAGTTCAGGTTGACCTGGTTGAAGTTCTTGAGACCATTGAAGGCGTTGATGTCGAACTGGAAGGAGCGCGCCTCGAGGTCCGTGGCGGGAGCCGCGGGAGCCGCCGGGGCAGCGATGGCCAGGGTGGCGAGAGCAGAGATGATGAAAGTAACAGGCTTCATTTTGTCGGTTGTGGGGAGTGATGAGTTCTCGAAAACAAGAATTAAAGGATTATAGTTAAGAGCACAGCTGCTGTCATGTTAGCCGCCAGTTTGCTCCAACGAGTGCGTGATCTCATACCTCAATGATGTTCAGAAATGTGAAGGAGTGAAGCGAACAGCGAGCACAGCTAGCGGATCCGATGTTAGCCTCCCGTATTGTTGTGGTTGATCTAATACCGAAGCTCACCTCTGAATGAACGACTGAAGAAGATATTGACCGGAGTCGGGAAGGCTAGTTAGTGTGGTGAGTGTGGATGAGGAAACAAACGAGGAGGAGTCTCTGGCGGGCAACTCGGTTTATATCAGCTCGAAGAGCACTCAGACCAAGCGCCACCGAGAGAGCACGACATGGTATGGCATGAGCGGGAGTGGCACGCCAAGATTTCAGGAGCAGAACATATATTCGGAAGGGAGGTCGACCAGCCATCCGGGCGTGTCAGGTGTTTGGCGGCGTTCAACGGAGCCTGCCGGGTAAAACACCATGGATGGGGGCAACATGATGTGCCGGGATGGGCAGATGATGCAGGAGAAGCGAGAATGTCCAGGCCAACCAGACTCACCCGGGAAAGGAAAGATACAGGGGAGGGGCAAGAAATTCGCCGAGAGACCGCATGCCGCATGTGTGTTGCCCAAGGGGGCGGCCATCGAGAAGCATTCGAGACTGACTGCGACGCCATGGCATGGGACGGAATACCGCACGGCCGAGCCTAGTAGAGGAGGCGTTGCCAAGAGAAACACGATAGGCATGTGTTCGTGGATGATCCTGAGCAAACTGGACCCATGTGGCGCGTTCACGATGCCGGGTCCGTCATGGGGAGTGTGGGGTGGTCGAAGCCGGGGGTTGAGGACGGGATACTCCTCGTCCGAAGGCAGTCTGCGGGAAATGCCAAGTGCCATCCAATGTCTGGTGGCAGGGGGCGGGAACTGAGAAGGACAGTATGGACGCTCGGCCCCAGCAAAAAAAAGGCTGAACAATTTCTTTCCCTGATCGACGCCGAGAATAGGACCCCGTTTCAAAGTGTTTCGCCAAAGTAGGCACTTTAGGATGGCGGCGAATATGGGATGCGAGCTCAAGGGGAGGCCTGGAAACACGGGCAGACAAACAGCATCACTACGGAAGCTGGGGCGAGCAGAGTTTTTCATGAAGAGAAGAAAACACAGTTAACTTCCATCCATGGGAGGAGCGTCAAGGCAGCAGAGCATCTACCATGGCCTGCACTTTCCTCGAACGGAACTACCGGTGCCAGATGCCACCTTCCGTGCCTAAAGTAGTATTGTAGCAACCGTGAGCCGTTGAACGGCAAGAAGTGACAACCTGGGGGTCGCCACTTCCACGCTAGGCTTTTTGGCTTAAGGTTAGTCGGCATCCGATTGCCGAGCCCAATCAGCCCAATCATCGAATCATGGGCGGCCAACCGTCGCCATCCTGTTTCAAACCTTGAAGTTTTCGAAGGAGTTGTCCAGGGGAGCCCGGGTAAAATGTCTGGGCTCTGGCTGGGAACGCAGGAGGTCGCAAGAGGCTCAAAAGGCTAACCCCACGCACCAACTGAACCCCAGACTGCCAAGCCAAAGCCAAGATTTGTTCGAGTCTGGTTGCGTTTTCTCATTGGCCAGTCCTGACTCCTGCACCGCTGAAGCCGTTGAAGCCGTGCAACTGCGACGCAGATCCGTGCGCCCAGGCGAATGTGAAGCACTTCCTTTTTGATGCCATTGCCTTGGCCACCGGAACCTCGCTGCTTCCGATTCCTAAGGGGCCACCGCCGTCCGGATATCAGGCATCGTCATTCAACCAAGCTCTAAAAACTTCAGATCATCGACGGTTGCACTCGGCATAGAGTAAGCCATTGGTCAGATGCACACACATGCAGGTACGGACGGAACCACCGGCTTCACCATCTGAACTCGAAGGGTGGTATTCTCTGGGGAGTAATATCGACCTCGGATGATTGATTGTATTATCAGCCAAGATTAGAAACTAGGAGCATGGTTTACGAGTTCATCTCAATTCTGATCTTCAATCCCTTGATATAGATAATTAGAACTAAGGTACGCTGGTTTAGAATTTGTAAATATACTGTAAAAAAAGGTAAGGAAAAGGGTAGACAAAAAAGAATAAACGAAAAAATAAACATTTTCTTTAGAACAGAGAAACAGAAGCGGCGTCTTGTTTGGCATATGAGAAATATCCGAAACCACCTTGAAGGGCCTGTCTCTTCCTCCGAAATTCGGGTACAACTCAAACCTCTCCGCCCAACAACACCAGACAACCCCCCCCCCCCGGCGACTCATCCCCACTTCTACCCCCACCCATTACCGCGTGAGGTCCGCCAAGTTGACGTCGTCAACCACTCCGGCGGCATCCGCCGCCACCGAAGTAGCAGCAGCAGCAGCAGGGACGGAACTGACGGCATCAACCCCAACAGCAACAGGCGCAACAGAAGCCGCAGCCGCAGGGATAGCGCTCACGGCAACCTGGGCGGCAGTAGTAGTGGCAGCCGAGAGAGCACCCGATGCTCCCGCATCAATAACAGAAGCGGGCGCCACCATAGTCGCAATAGGGCTTGCCGCGACGGCCGAGGTCGCAGCTATGACCTGGGGA